GAGGAAAGAGCTCACTTGATCCCCTGTGCAACTCCTCCCCCTGCTGGGCATCGCATTTAAGCACAAATAAGTGCTTAAAGTAAAGTGTTATCTATAACAGAAAAACAAAACAATGCATAATTCATAATGCACCAACACTGTTGATGCAAATCTCTGCATGTACTCAACACAAAGAAATATCTTTTCTGCTGGCAGCAGGCATCAGAATTTCACTTGAATCCGGTGCATTCTGCATGTTCTTTTATTTCTAAATAATTTAGGAAAAAACTGTGGATTTGACAGCAATGAAACCTACTGTTAGCCTTAAAATTGATCAAGAAGAAGTCTGTCTTTGGGATCAAGCACCAGGATGTACAATAACAGGGCTGATCATTAGATTTAGGAAGCAAGTTAGTGAACCTTTTAAGATTTGTTGTATTTGTGCATGAATGTGTCCCTGATTGGGCATCGTGACGGTCTGGTGGTTTTATATTTTTTTTATTTGGTTCAGTTGTAGTTATCTGGTGTTTTAGAAGTTTGTCTTAATTTATTTCCCCAATTTATAATAATAATACTTTTTATTTTTAATACTGCCTTTCGTGCCACTCAAAGACACTTTACAGAGACAGTTAGGGGTTAGGGTTAGAGTTGGGGTTAAGGGGGTTAGGGGTTAGGTGTTAGGGGTTATTTTTCGGATTGCTCCCCATGGTGCTGAGGTGAGGTTAGGGTTAGGTTTTTTGGTGTTAGGGTTAGGTTTTTAGGGGTTGGGGTCCTGCTGCAGGACGGGGCTGACATGTTTGGAAGAATTTAGAGTTATTTAGTGTTTATTTACTTTGACGTCCTCGCCTCCAGGTAAAATCTCAGGACGAGTGTAGTTCCGGCCACGGCCGATAGATGGCGCCATAATCTCAGGGAGGACGGAAGTCCAACGGCTCCGTCCCAACCGTAGAACCACAAAACGGCTCTTCTGTGACGGTTGGACTTTCCTCATATCCTGAAAAAAATCGTATTTCCTTAAAGAACGAGTCACTAAAAACTAAACCTATTTCTGACCACACACTGATAAAACAAAAAGAAAGAAATCAAACCAATAATCGCTGCCTGTGATTGTATATCTGCTCCTAAACCCGACCGTTGGTCGCCAACTGATTTGCTTAATTAGGCAGCGTACTGTCAGAAAGCCTGTATTAAAATAATCCCCATATTGTTTTACACGTTAAATGTCGTGGTCTGTAATTTTTTATTAGTTTTTTTGATGACCTACATTTCGCTTTTTTTTTTAGTTTGACTGCCGTCCTTCCCCCCGATGACCCACCTGGCCCCTCCCGCCTCCCGGGACTCTCCCCCCGGCTTCATTCCGCGGAGGAACCCGGTGCCCCCGGTTGGTCGTTTCCAATTACGTTACCGCAAGATGGAGGTCTGCCGATGGCACCGCTAACGTCCGGGGCTCCCACCAACCGTCCCCGTGGCTTCCACGACGCCTTCGCCCGGACAGGAGTGGACCCGGTGCCATCTTCTTTTTTTTTTCGTCGGTTTATCGGGGGAGTGTAGTCGGGAGACGCCGATCCGAGCTCCAGGCTCCAGGGCCGGGTCGCGGCAGCCATGAGCTCCGGGGAAGGAGCCGGGGAGACGACGAGGGACGCCGGCGACGTGGAGGCCGTTTTCAAGCCCGGTGAGCCCGGGGAGGGAGAGGGAGAGGTCGGACCGAGCCCCGGTATAGCTGGGTGCCGCTTTCCGTTTCTGGTCCCGGTAGTGGGGGACATTGTTCCCATCCTAGCTAGTCCGGTTTGGGGTTCACACACTAGATGCTCATATGTTCAAATCCGTGTGTTTTTTAAACTGCTTTTAGAAGGGGAAACATAGAGTAAATGACAATGGGCAAAGCAGACTGTTCAAATCAATAAAATAGTGTTTTCTAGATTTCCAATTCTCATAACGAGCTAAATCAGATAGCTGCCCCTGCCTGTTCAGCCAATCAATGCTAGCTAAAAATGCTAATGCTAGGAGTTCCATCTTCGGACACCACCTTGATTTTTTTATTTTTTTATAAACGTTTCACAAGCTTTCCTGTGTTTATTCGTCGCTAAAATAATCCTTTGCGATTCCCAATTACTGCCTCGGTTATTTCTAATGAGTTTCTTCCGGTTAATTTCACGCAGGAAACGAGATTGTGGGGAGTAGATTTGAGTTGGGTAGTAAGAGGAAAAACCCCAGCCAACTGTTCCCGTTCAGCTCCAGCCTGACTCAGTGGGATCACAGTCACAAGTTAAAACGGTTTCTTTGATTCACAGTGAAACTCTTGTTGGTTGTTTTTAGCTCTAGAGATGAGTTTCCAGTTTCAATGTGGGTTTTCAGGGCTAGTCCGCGAAGCTAACGGATCCTGGATCAGATTCGGTGAATCCTGTCTTGCTAGCTAGCGAATGCTAACGATTGCTAGCTTGGCAGTGAGTTGACAAAGCTGGCTCTTGGCTTCCCAGTTTATCTGTGCATTGAGAGGGAAAACACACACGTTTCGTCTGCTCATATTAAACATCCGGGCTCCTCTTTTATTTGTTGTTTTCCTCCACGCTGTCAAAAACAACACAATCGTGCATGCTATGTAAACAATACATGGCGTGGCACAAACAGCTTGGGTGTGCACTGTGCAGTCTAAGCTAGCTTTGTGGCAGCTATCAAGGCCATGAGTTTTTTTTCTCTTCTCATTTTAACATCTGCTTCTTTGTGTAGAAATTCCTGAGTATCTGCGGCACATGTTTAGTTGGGTACTACTAAGTTGTCTTCGCATGTGGTAAACTGGTCCTCCAATGTATAGAAATAGAATAACTACCATTAGCCAAATAGGCTAATTTATAAATCAGGACTGTTTTGAAGTCCCAACCATAGCGGGCCCTACAGTGGTCTTACTGGCTGGCTGTAACAATGGCTCATAAACTGTGAATTCCAGAGTACCTTTAGACATCTAAGAGGTCCTATAAATATAGTTTTTTTGATGTTATCATACTTAAATATTTGTATTTTGCATAGAGAAAAACAACAGAGGATGGTATATGTTTCCTAGTTGTCATTTATGCAGTGGGGATGGACGTAAACAGTATATTTAGTCATAGATAAAGTGAGACTTTACTGGTAGATAGGATGTCTGCATGTTTGTTGATGTCTCTCATGAAAAAGATAGCAAATAAACCCTTTTATGTTCTATTGCTGCTGCTGGAAGTGAAATATATCTACTGCTTACTTTCCTTTACAACCACCCTTTATAATGGTTATTAATATTTGAATGTTATGATTGTCAAGAAAATCACCTCTCCTGATAAGGGGGTGTTTTAAATGACTGCAGTTGCTCTGTTAGGAGGAAATAAACCGGCTGTACTGTGTCACGTGTCGGAGGTTTGTGATTATAAATCAGATTCGGAGGAGCAGTTCGGGTGGTGTAAACAACCGGGAGAGTGCAGCGTATCGATGTGCAGCCTCCGGCTCCTGCGGTTCCGAGTCTACTGAGATAATAAGCCACAGAGGGAAGTTCAGCATCCGCACTGAGCCGATCTGATGGTTTCCTCTTAAAGGAGCTCCTCTCTCACCCCCCCCACGCTTTGTGTTTTCTACTGACAGCCAGCACAGCTGCCTCCGTCCTCTTTATTAATCACCAGATCTTTGGTTCGTTTAGCTGTTTTCCTGCCACACAGAAACAGGCCTTTGTGTATCAGTTGCTAGCTAAAAA